AAAACAAAGATCTCCTGATACTGAGGTGTAAAGGTGTCTGCATGCAGTGTCTCTAGAGCAATGACAGAAAGAGGTTGGGCATGTGTACACTCACTAATCCCATGGATAGCACAGTCTCCTAGGAACAAGTGTTCTTGCACAGGCTCTTGACTGTTTGTGGGGATGTGCAGAGTTGCCGTCTGATGGCCTGTCAGCACAGCGAGCAGAGATGTCTGTGTGAAGTCTACATAGTGACAGTCCTAATGCAGAGAAGCTGATGTGGTCCCGGTGTGGCGATCAGCATCACCGCTGTGCTGAACTGATGTGCAGAGCTTGCAGCAGTAGGCAAACAGTCTGTCTCTGGAGGAAAACAGCAGTCCCCCTACTTTCAGCTCTGAATCCCACACCAATAGAGCGAGCCAATCCCTTGCTGTAGGACATATCTGCTCTCCCAGCATCCTTCTGGTTCACCAGCTTTCTGGTAGTTGTAGTTCAATTAGTACTCAGAAATACAGTATATATTGGCTATAGGACTACAGGTCCCAGGATCCCCTGCTGTCAGAAGAACTGGATCCACTCTGCAAACAGTGAGTGTTGCTTGGCACTTGGGGGAAAAAGACTAATCATAGTGTCATCTGTAAATGTCCCTGAAAGGAATAAGGATTTAGCCAGCACGTGGCTACAGTATTATCTGCAGTTAAGTTTTACCTTGTTCATCAGGTCCATCTAAATCTGCTAGTCTAAAGCTGGGTATACGCACTAAGATTTTTTTCAACCACAAAAATTTCACAGATCCCCGCATCAACACAATCAATGTTGATGCAGGGATCTCTCCCGCTGTTGTTAGACCCAGGGACGGACTGACAACTCATGGGGCCCCCGGGCAATAGGGGATCATGGGGCCCCTGTGTCCTTGCCCAAACTCAAAAAAGCCTATGAAAAAGGTACCAGGGGCATCTCATGGGGCCCCCTACTGACCCCGGGCCCTCGGGCAGTGCCCGAGTTTCCAAATGGTCAGTCCGCCCCTGGTTAGACCAACAGTTGTTGGCTACAGAGCTGATAAATGTACTCTAACAGCATAGAAATCCCCACTGTCAGAATACATTAATGCAGCTGGGAGGATTCCCCCATGCACCTCGGATGTGTGGATGGAGGAATCCATTCAGTTTATTTTCATCAACCTGCACTTATGAACTTTAGTGAATAATCCCTGCGCAGTAATCTGCCACCAATGCTTGTTCTTTTCCCATTACAGGAGGACAGTTCAGATGACATTGCTATGAACTTCTGTACATTTCAGATTCAGCCTGGACAGAGTAAAAATCTGCCTACTGCTGACCTCTCCACATTTCAGAGTCAGCCGGAACAGAATGAAGACCTGCCCACCTCTGCCCTTGCTACATTTCACTGTCAACCGGGACCTAATGAAGATCTACCAACCGCCAACTGTGTCTGGAATTACTCTTACTTGTAGGAAAGGCTCATTGACCCAGGCTGATGTGTTTAGAATACAGAAAATAGGTATCTCTCTTCCAGAACCACACACACAGGGCTTAGCACAATGTTATTACACAGGGCTGGTGAGCTGTGTTCTTTGCACAGCCTGGGGACCCATTATCACAACTCACATTCACTTTTTTTTTCTTGCTATTCCCTTACATTGATATCTGTTTGAACACAGTTTTGCTATTGTAGCACAAAAGAAAGTATAGTTTTATCCTGTTATGTATTCATGACCAGGGGCGGACTGACCATTTGGAAACTCGGGGTCCGGGGTCAGTAGGGGGCCCCATGAGATGCCCCTAGTACCTTTTTCATAGGCTTTTTTGAGTTTGGGCAAGGACACAGGGGCCCCATGATCCCCTATTGCCCGGGGGCCCCATGAGTTGTCAGTCCGCCCCTGTTCATGACTGTAGGAAATGAGACCACAAGACGCACAGTACGGTCAGTACTGCACTATCCTCACATTCAAATGCACATCAACTCCTATATTGGAGGAAATCATGAAATATACATGTAAGATCACTGGTAAATCAGCTGATGCACATTTAATTGAAATGTTAGATTCACTCTCATTGGCATGCATTAGGCATATTTTACACGTTCGGTTGCATGCAGTCACCAGATTCCAGAGGCAAGTATTAGCAGATTCTTACAGCTGGAACGAAGGGGGCATGCGAATAGAAGCCACTCGGCCTATTTAAACTAATGATAGGCTGACAGAGGCCACTGCTGTTAACATAAAGCTGCGTGCAGAGCGGTTAGTTGCAGTTATGGATTGATGTCCAAGCCCGGACGCAGTCAGCTGCATTCAGGCTCAGACATCTTTCCCTAATCACAGGTAGTCTTTTCACTGTTTTTTAGAAAATCATGTTAAAGACATCAGTTTGTTTTATAAATAATCATATTAATATGTGTTAATGTTTTAACAAACTGTTTCAATGTACAGATCGTAGATATGTACAGTGCAGCACCCATATAGGATCATTACCTACTTGGGCTCTTTTCCCTGCTGTACAGTTCAATGTTTTTTCCTGCTGTACAATGCTTGTGCTTTAGGCCTAGTTCACACTGGCATTGAAAGTAGGTGCTTGAGGGGCGTTTTTAACACTCCTCAAAAGCCTATGCACATTATCAAAAGATGAAGCGTTAGTGTAGTGTCGCTTCAAAATTGAAGCCTCATATCGAGTCTATGTCTATGGTGATGCTCCTCAAATGCACTGGCAGGCGCTTGCAGGGCATTTATGGTGCGGTTGTGGCGCGTCAATAACATTACAGTTTATTTAGTTTGTGGTGTGATTTAATGCTAGTCAAACGCTTATAAAATGCTTCAAAAGTGAACACAGGGCATTTGGGGAGCAGTTTTAATGCTTGTAAAAAGCCAGTCTAACACCCATACTGAAGCTCATTAATGCCTGTCTAACGCCCATACTGAAGCTCATTAATGCCTGTCTAACGCCCATACTGAAGCTCATTAATGCCTGTCTAACGCCCATACTGAAGCTCATTAATGCCTGTCTAACGCCCATACTGAAGCTCATAAATGCCTGTCTAACGCCCATACTGAAGCTCATAAATGCCTGTCTAACGCCCATACTGAAGCTCATTAATGCCTGTCTAACGCCCATACTGAAGCTCATAAATGCCTGTCTAACGCCCATACTGAAGCTCATTACTGCCTGTCTAACGCCCATACTGAAGCTCATTAACGCCTGTCTAACGCCCATACTGAAGCTCATTAACGCCTGTCTAACGCCCATACTGAAGCTCATTAAGGCCTGTCTAACGCCCATACTGAAGCTCATTAACGCCTGTCTAACGCCCATACTGAAGCTCATTAAGGCCTGTCTAACGCCCATACTGAAGCTCATTAACGCCTGTCTAACGCCCATACTGAAGCTCATTAACGCCTGTCTAACGCCCATACTGAAGCTCAATAACGCCTGTCTAACGCCCATACTGAAGCTCATTAACGCCTGTCTAACGCCCCTACTAAAGCTCATTGACGCCTGTCTAATGCCTGTACTAAAGCTATAGGAGCGTTTGGTAAGAGTTAGAAATTTAGTGTGAATAAACCCTTACTGCTCTGTCTCATGGGTTAAGTCTATGAGTCAACTGATTCTTTGTGGGATTGTTCACACTAGATGCAGCCAGATGGGTTTTTAAGCAGAACTTCACTCTCTCAATCAACATTGACTATTTTTAATCCTTATGCTGCCAGCATTAGTAAACAGATAGGAAAGTATATTATATTTTAAACCTTTTTTTACATTTCTTCAGTTACTTACTGGTTTCTGGGTCCAGGCAAATGATGTCATACATCCCAAGAGTCTTCAAAGGGGAGGAGGGGTTTTCTCAGCTAAGCACAGCCTCCTGTCTGCATTCCTGAGCTCAGGGCAGATGAATTCCAGGATGAATCATCTGCCTTTATTCAAGATGGCCACTACCAGAAATGCTAGGGGGTATTTTTTCAAAGTGATTTTCCAGCACAAAAAAGCATGGAGACATTTTATAGATGGGTGAATATGAATATTGAAAATAAATTAAATAGCATTTTTGGATTGTGGTGCTTAGATGCAGTGTAGTTCCGCTATAAATGGATCCTGAATGCATAGCAAAATCAATGTTCTACAATCATCCTAGTTTGCACCATTGTGTTCAGTTCCGGTGCTTTAAAAAAAGCAGCATGCCATTTTTTGCACCAGAACACACATGTAAATGCATGTCTATGCAAATAAATGCACTGAAATGCACATAAACATATTTTTCAAGTGCAAAAAAAGAAAAAAAAATGCACTGGAATGTATTATAAACACACTATAAATGCATTAAACCATGTTAAAAATAGGTGTAAACGAGCATGTGGAAACGCACACTGAATGAAGGTATTGTTGTATGAACTAGCTCTAATAACAATCTGCTTTCTGTCTGACTGAGATGTCAAAAATACCTGAAGCACAATTGCAAGGTTTTAATCGCAGGTTTTATCACTCTTTGTCTAAAAAAAAAAGCAAACGAGAAATCTGATTGGTTGCTGTGGGCAGTGGCCCCACTTTTTTCCCATAATTGTGAACCCCAAAACCAATCCTGAAACATAGTTTTAACCACACCCATATGCACATGTTTAAGCACTTCAAGTCCAGACACTTTTACCCCCTTCTGGTCCAGGCTAATTTTCAGCGCTATCACACTTTGAATGACAATTTTTTAGCATTTTTTTGAGACAGATAAAACTTTACTTTGGTGGTATTTATTCACCACTGGGATTTTTATTTTTTTGCTATATAAAAAGTCCAAACATTTTGAAAAAAATTGTTTACATTTTTATTTTATTTTTTTATATTATTTGTTTTGGGTTTTTTTACATACTGTCACCCTAGCAGGACAGTGCCACCATAGTGACACTGTACTACTTCTGAGGGGTGATGAAATTTATTTATTTTATTTTTTTTACACTGATTGCTTTTACACCCATAAAGGCTGTAAAAGCAATCATGTCTCCTTCTCTCTGGCTGCATTCTTGTGTGAGCTGTGATTGGTCACAGCTTGTCACATGGTACAAGGCTGTTGTGAATAGCTTTGTACCATGTGACCTCTGTGATCATTCACAGATTTCACAAGTAGTAAGCAATGATGTCAGAAAGTGACATCTTGTTTACTACTATTCATGTGATCACTGATTGGCCAATCAGTGATCACATGATCGGGACCTCACACAGAGGTCCCGTACAGCGATCGGTGTTCAGGATCGCGGTGCCATGCACTCCCAGGGAGCGAGCACAGGCCGTGAATGCGGAGGCCGTTTATAAACGGCCACCCACTTTGGCACTGCTCCCATCTGGACGTTTTTATGTACATGGGCCGGACGGGAAGTGGTTAAACGAAAAAATTCCTAGGACTGAGCTAATGATGTAAAAGACTCACTGAAGAATACATTGGGTGGGGCCTACATAGTATCTTTGGTTCAATGTAATTACCATATACCTTGGGTCCATATGATATTAAAAGGAGAGGAAGAATGGATTTGAGTCCATGCATTATTTGTTTAATATGATAAATCAACTGGATCTTGTTAAGGAAAGACTCTGGCACGTGACATTACAATATAGATATGGCCAAATAATTTTTCTTTGAATTAGTCACATTTTGACATTTTTCCTACCAAATACAGCCACCCATGGATCAGGGAGAATAATGGAATTTAGCAAAAAGCTAAAATGAATGAAAAGCATAGTCCCAAACAAATATCTAGTTATTCTCAAACTGTTAGATAATGGTTCTGTTGCACAAACAATGAAGGATACTGTCAGCTGATTGGCACTACCCATGAAAATATAGTTCATCAACTGAATACCTTAAGGCGGCCATAGATGGTTCTCTGATGAACTGGCTGAGATTCGATCCATATATGGGCAAGCTGATTGTACCCAAGTCGATCCATATCGATTGACGTGGGCACAACCAGCATGTCAGATTCTTTGGATGCGATTATTGCCAGGGACTATAGCTAGCAATAATCATTGTGTTCTCTCAGCAGGGATGGCTTCCCACCTCCCCCCTTCCTCACCAGGAGAACACAATAGCTCCACGGGAGGGATTCCCCCATCAACACAGATAGGGTAATCAAGCAATTTCCTTTCCTGCCTTAGGCTGGCCATACACTATGCAATTTTCTGCCAAATTTCCTTTAGATTTACCTTCAACTATGTAGTGCAAGGGCTTGCATAATTGAATACAATTGAAAATGGTGTTTAGGTTTGACCTCATATTATATGGTTTTTGGTCAATCTAAAGCACAATTCTCAAAACAATTGTATAGCGTATGGCCAGCCTTAGTATTGGAGCAGGCACCAAGAATAAAAACATATCAGTGTTTTGTTTGAGAGTCACATTGAGGATTATCTGATAAGTGACATATAAATGTAATGTGCCATATCAGAAAATGAATGGATGTACTGAAGGACTACTCAAAACCAACAGGCAATAATCTGGGATAATCTAACTGTCATTTTACATATACTGTATATACTATTTTGTCTCATCAACTCCATTTACAGTATATATTATCAGTTTTGCATATTTTTAAATAATATATATAATTGCATATATGTATTTGCCTGAGCTGTTGGTCAGGCCATTGTTTATTTTGTAGACTAATTACATAAATCCTTTAAAAATCTAGCTTTAGCTTCACATACTGTATATTTCAAACTGTCAGTGTCTTTATTTTAATCTTTGTACTTTGACATAAACTATAAAGATATAAAAAAAATTAACTTCTATGCAGCTAAGTGCATCTTTTTTTACATACTCATTGGGGTTGATGTACGAAAGGTAAATAGAATGTGCAGTTTGCAGATGCAGTTGCATTCATTTTCCCCAGAGCTTATTGAATGTGGTGAAGCTTTGCTGATTTCTAGTCATGTGCAAGCAAAAATTCTATTTGTTATTTTCCTTGTATCTGATTCTTTACAAAGTGAAGCTTCACAGCATTCACTAAGCTCTGGAGAAAATGAGTGCAACTGCACTCGCAAAGTGCTCAATCTATTTACCTTTAGTAAATCAATCCCATTACATTCTAAAATATGAAAAGTATTTCTGTACAATTATGGATATATAATCAGTCTTTACAGTGTTTAATATTAAAACATTTTCCCCCCTTTACTTATACCCCTTTACCATAGTTATCTGCTCAGGGAGTGACCCAGTTCAGTTTATTCTTTAGACACTAATAGTAAAGTCATCTACTTGTAAGCCTGCAGATTGAGGTTTTTTTCATTATTACCTGTGAAGACTTGGCAATACATGCACAGTACTGGATCGCCTCTCAATTCATAAGAGGTTCAGAGCGCGCTGCCTGGCATGAAAATGTGTTTAAAGACACAAAATCCATTAAAAATGCTGGCACCTCTGGGCGTGTTTTGATGCCTCTGTTTATAATGTTTATAATTAAAATTAATAAAAACCATTGAAATATAAAAATGCTGGCACCTCCAAGCCCTGTAGTACAGTATTGTGCTTTTACTGAACAAGAATGATGCATAAACACGCTACTTACAGGTATAGGAAAGCAATGCAGGACATAAGAGATTGCCACTAACATGAATACAGACACACACGCTAACCAGCCTTTCCTGGCAAATTGCTAATAATTTATATGAAGTAAGGCATATTGAGCAGGACTTCAGGTATTAATCGTTCAAAAGAAAGCTGTATCTTGATCTGGTTCTCATGTATTGTAAATTTAGTGTCATCCTATCTTGCAGTTCCCCAACCAGTTTGTGCTGCTGAATCTTTATTCCCATTCCCACATGGGGTAACCCTTTCTACTTCCATCTTCTTATATCAGTTTCTTCTTTGAGAGAAACATTTCCTAACTGCAAACACATGATGGCACTATAGTATAATAAATGCCATGGGTCAAATATGTCAAAAGAATAAAGTGTTACTAAACCCAGGACCCTGCATTCACTATATCTGGTCTCCCACAGTACAAAAAACATGTTAATGCAATTATTTTAGTAAATATAAACTGCTTAGTACCTTTCATCAGCAGTTAGATCACTCTTGTGACTTCTATGAGTGTCCAGCTGAAGACTGATTAAAGCTTGTAGGAGGAGTTTTCATTTACCTCTCACTGCCCTATGAGATTGCATAACCCCTGACCCTCTGTCTGGACAGTGCTGATTGGCCCTGTGCTGATCACATGCACCCTTCCAAGAAAAAGAAAAAACTCTCTAACAGTATATACCAAACTGAGCATGTGCAGAGTGTCCCCGAGGCTGTGTTCTATCAGGAGATGAAATGGGGAACATGGAAGAAGGGGAGGATCAGGGAAGTCAGGAACAAACATCTTTTTTACACAATGCAGAGGATTAACCCCTTAAGTTCCACAGTGAGTATAACATGCATTCTTCACTGCACATACAGATTGATTTTACTGTTGTGGGTTTAGTAACACTTTAAGCTATAGTTTGTCCTTATTGACATAGCTTGGTTCCAGTGTTTAACAAACGCTCCTCTAAAACAATGGCAATAGTTAAAACTGTATACACTGCCTAACCAATCATTTGCATTGCCCAGTATGCCACAACAATATCCATTTCCCTATTGTGTTAGAAGACAGTAAAACTAAGCATGTCCAAACATTGTTCCAGTGGCATTTGGACAGCTATGTCATTCATTCACAAAAATCTGTGAATTATGAAATTGCAAGTCCCCTCTGCCACCACAGCAAATGGCTTGTAGTTCTCAATGGGCTATAAGGGCGCTAATGAGCATCCTCCTAGTCCAATGACACTTCCTTCAGCTTTCTAACAGAAAAGCCTATACAGGGGTATGGGCAAGAAAGCTGTAGAACATGTCTGTAGGAGCTTGACATTGCACCTGTGGAGACATGCTGTCACACACTGTACAGCATAGAACAGGTAGCTAAGTGTAATCTGAGACTAGAGTGGAGGGAATGTACTCACTCCCCGCTACACAGACTCATAGGGAAACATGCACAGCTAAGGCTGTCAATCACATGCTGTGTGCTGGAGGCGGGGGATGTGTTCTTGGGTTCAGTGATGTTGAATTGATCATATCTCACACTTTCCAAGAATTGGTAAACTTGTGCTAGTTATTGAGATCTTTGTCTGCATTCACCTTTTTTGTCAGTTTTTGATAAGTCCCCTAAGTTTCTTATTTACTGTACTAGAGGTGAAGGCATAAAAAAGAGGGGCTATTACTACACCATAGGTATTAAGAGCAAACGTAAACTGATAAGGGAGAAACACTTTTAGAGTGACCTCACATATGGAATGGCCAAAAAGTAAAAGAGAACTCTGATACATCATAACTATATGCATAGGACAAAAGATAACCCCAAACCCAAATGCAACTATAATAAGACTCTTTCTGATCCTTTCTCGCTGCTCTTTGGGAACCGAGATGGCGTTCTTCAAGGCACAGTAGATGAGGTGGCCAAGGAGGCAAAGGAAGCTCAATGGTAAAAAGTTAAATATAAATGAGAGCATTAAGTCAAGCACGGCCCATTCTGCTGCTACTCTGAAATCCGGAAAGCATTTCCTTGTTTTGTCATCAATCAGTATCTGTTCAGTAACTGAAATGGCTGTCACAATGGACCATAGGGTAAAGCTGACTGATCCACATACCCAAATGGAGGAAAGTGTTTTATATTTCAGAGGTTGCTTCACGGCCATATACCGTACAAGAAACATCCAAACAAGAAATACTGCAGCAGTTCTTTGTACAATCTTGGGGATAAGACCAAGAACATGGCAGACCAATGAACCAGCTGTAAAGATGTTCAAAAGATAACTGACTCCAAATGGTAAAACCAGACATTCTAATATTGCAGCAATCAGAAGATTGACTGCATAGAAAGGCAGACCCAGTAAACTTATGACTTCTGGCCATATTGCCCACAGAACCAAAATGCTGAGTGTTAGTCCCAACAAAGCATTCCCAATGTAGATACAGGAGAGAAGAATTGAATATTCTGTAGACGTAGTGCTGCATGAAGATATATTTCCATAAAAAGTGTCTTGTATGGAGATATTGGGGTTATAAGTGACATTCATTTTCCTCTTAAATAAAAGCCCCTGCAAAAAAAAAAGATAACATCAAATTAAAGTCTGCAGTAGATTAGGCTATAACCTGCTGACAGCTGCAGCTTGGTACATATGATTTCATGCATTTAAAGTACAACTGAAGGCAAAATGCTTGTTTCACTTTGGATAGAGTAAAGGAGGGTTATAACCAATGTCAGTGTTTGTGACCATCTGTGTCCTATTGGGGAAATTTCCCTTCATTTCCTCTCTCATAACGAAAGCAGGAATTAGGATGATCCATGATTGTCACTGGGGTCACCAGAACTAGTGTCTCCATTGGAAGATTTCCCTGTGTTACTTTTCTGAGGACAACCCAAAATGTGAGATTTTTCACTTTCACTCTCAGTGATAATGGTAAACAGCTAGAGAGGGGGAATCTCTCTAATGGGGGCACAGACAGCAATAAAAACTAAAAGAAAAAAAGTTTTGCCTTTAGTTATGTATACTTTAAAGAAATCCTGTACTTAGAAAAATGAATACAATTACAGAGGTTGTGATTGTTTATGTCCTTCTAAAAATGTCAATTGTGTGGCTTCAATTGCAAGTCAGTGGCTGAGCAAGTATGCCACAAGCAGAGCTGTAGATGTCAGAGCTTCTGATCTGTATGCTTGTGTTGGGTTAGTGATTCAGAAAGAATTGAAGATGAAGGATAAGAATATCAGGCAATTAGCATTTTTAGAAGGAGAGCTCAGTAATAGCAGCCTATATATTTCTATCGGTATAGGTTTCCTTTCAGTGTGGTATTACTGTACGGATAAGCACACGGCAGTATTTTCTACGCCAACAATAGTTCAGCTGTTATATGTATAAATGAATAGTGAGTACCTTCTCCTGGGCCATGTGTTGACTGTACATTTAATGCACTTGAGAAAACGAGGTATGAAATTGGTGCATTGGATAGAAATGTACTAATATGCCTGTACTTTGGGAAATATATAGAATTTTCTAAACATCATTTTTACTACCGTAATCTTTTTAGAAGAGAACATCTTTGAAAGCAGAAATGTCCATAAAAAAATATGCAGTGCTTCTGCTTTCACTGTTGTGGATACAAACCAGTCATTGAAATTGGTGCATTGGATAGAAATGTACTAATATACCTGTACTTTGGGAAATATATAGAATTTTCTAAACATCATTTTTACTACCGTAATATTTTTAGAAGAGAACATCTTTGAAATCAGAAATGTCCATAAAAAAAATATGCACTGCTTCTGCTTTCACTGTTGTGGATACAAACCAGCCATTGCACGCAATCTTGCAGAAACGCACCCTTTACACATCTTCGCAATGCTTTGACTTAAAAT